CAAATTACCTGGTTTTAATCATAGATTTCAAAATGTTAAAAATCTGAAGATTCATTTTTTTTGCCTTCTTGCAAAAAAAAAGAAAGGAAAAAGACATCTCAATTTTAAATAATTAGCTTTCTTTCTTATCATTTTCCAGAACTCTCAAAGTTGAACTGTCTTTTTTTCCCACATGAAGAGGCTAAAGATCAGCAAATATTACCTCAGGAGTTTATGACTAAGGTCTAATAATGTACATTTAGATACAACCTGTAACTATGAAACACATTGTGCATTCATTGATTCTTTTATAATGAACAGACAGAAACCATTTTTCATGACAAGACTTTCCTGCTCTGCCTAAAATAGAACAATCTGTTAGTTTAATGTGTGTATACAACTGTGTGTATGCCTCTGTGTGTCTGTGTGTGTGTGTGTGTGTGTGTGTGTGTCTGTAGCTACATGTGTATGTGAAATCATTCCTTTCACCATCATTGTTAATCACTGATAAACTGAAATGTCTCATGTAAGAAATATTTATGAATTTAGCTTCCACTAATTTGAACTTGGTCCAGTTTTAAAAACTATTAAATTTTAATATAAACATTGGTATTTGGTAAAGGAATCTAGAATCACATTTATGAATCACTGAAATGCTATCTATAACCGATCTGCACACACTGCAATAGTGAGTTGCCTGCAGAATCCAGGCGTGCTGGCCTGTAGCCTTGGCTGGCGACAGCTCTCAATACCTCCCATATCATAACCCGCTTAGAGCACTGGCAGATTTGTTTTTTTTTTTAATTTTTGGTAATGCGATTCCAGAGTTGTTAAATACAATTTTGTAGATGACCACACTGTGTATGCCCACAGGCTGAGCATCTAGAGGTTTGTAACAAGCACACATTTACTGCTATAGTAAATAGTAATGGCATTAATATCCCCTGCTTACGATGTACAGCTGGGTACCAGAAAGCTACCAGCTGAAATGTGTGAAGCTTACTTGTCGTGATGTTTTTATACAACAGTACTGAAAACAGGACAATGACAACTGTCCCCTACCTTGGTCCATGAACCAACCCCACTATGGTTCCATTCTAGCTGCTAAGAGTTAGCTATTACATACAGTAAGACATAAAGTAAATACTCAAAACTCACTCTATTAGTGGTGCTCCATATAGAACAAAAATGATATGAAGGAAAAAACAGGACATAAGAAAGTAGACACAGCATTTCAAAATTCGGGTTACCTAAAAGAAAAATGAAGAATCTGAAGACTCGAGAAGATACCTAAAAAGCCATAAATTCTCCCATTTTACATAAATACAACTTGTTTCCATGATGTCTAAAACAGCTGAACATTCTGTTGGATAACTTCAAACTGGAGCACATGTCTTACCACATACACAGCTCTCAAAACAGACTACAAAAAAACCTTAAAAGCTGCGGCCAGCAAGTAACAGAGGTAAGAGCACTCCCCTCCACGCCTGAGCACCTGAGTTCAATGACTGGGACCCACATGATAAAGACCTAGCCTCTGACCTCCATATGAGAGCTGTGTTGTATGTACAGTTTAAAATGTTAACATGTGTTTTATAAATACGTCGCTTGAAGTTTCAGATCATGTTCCAGGCATGGGCCTATTAGTAGATGTTCAAGTGTTTTGTGTGTGTGTGGCTTTTTTAAATATTGTTTATAATATGAATATGATTTGGGAAATTATTTAGCGTTTTGCTTTTTAGATGTAATTTACCCAGTTTTGTTTTAAAATGAAAAAAAAGTATAGCATTCATTATTATTTATAGGTAATTCATGTGTCTCATTAAGGTCGCTGTGGTTTTTTTGTATCTCAACATTCTGTTATCAATATTTCTTAAGAATTAATAATATCATAATCACACCATATAAATAGAAATCAATTTTGGTTCTTATGCTAGTATAGTGGGTAGTGTATATTGTGTGATATTTGTCTTTTAAATGAAAAAGGATTATATATTTTGTGTGCTTGTGTGTGCGCGCACATATGTGTTTAAAATGTTCTAACAGGAAATTATACATAGTATTGAGTATTCAGTGAGGATTTTAATTTAACATAATTGTCCAGTGGCATAGCACAGTGACTATTCCAGAAAAAATTAATTCTAATATCTGAAAACATTTAACTGTTTAGTCAAGGAAGGCCACATATGAAATAACAGTTGCTATGACTTCATTTGAAATGAATTCTAGAAAACTCACTTATTTAAGGAGTACAAAAATATGGGCCTGGACTTGACCCCTAGCTGAGGGAGCTACTGACAGCTTATGGCTACTAAGGTAAAGAAAGTCGGTTTTCTTTGGGAGTGTGGTCCCTGGTAGGCTGACCAAGCTCCAGTGGATGGCTCCATATCTGTTTAGATATAGGCTTCTCAAAGTTATAACAACGACAAAGGGTTATGAAGTTGGCCAAGGGGTAGGAATAGAGTAGGAGATGAATGCATGTGATCAAAACACACTGTGTGCATGTATGAAATTATCAAACAATAACAAATATACTTTAAAAATATACATGGCCCAGGGAATGGCTCAGTCAGTAAGCAACAAGGACCGGATTCCTGGAACCACGGTAAAATGGGGCATGCTTGTAATCCCAGCACTGGGGAGAGACAGAGGACCTCCATCTAGCCTAACTGGTGAGCTTCTGGCCACTGAATGTCCTGTACAGAGCAGGTGGACAGTGTTTCTAAAGATAACACTTGAAGTTGTCCTCCAGCCTCTAAAAGCATTTGCATGTAATGCAACCCCTCCCTCCACGCACACTCCTAAAAAATGTACAAAAATAAATTAAAATAAACTGCAGTGTCTGGTAAGTTATCTTCAGTGATGACATAAAACCATGCTTATGCAGGTCATTTACACTGTGACGCATTGAAGGAGTCATAATTCCACAATTAATGCACGAGGATCTATCAAACCCTGTAGGACAGTAACAGGCTACTGCTTTGGGAGGTGGGACTTGGTTCCCATACACTGTAAATAACTCGATAAGGACATAGCAATACTTCATTCTTACACTATAACCTCCACCTAAAAACTGGTTCTGTAGAAGTAACCCTTACCTTATGTGATAATGAACTTCTTTTAGAGGACACATTTGGTTTCACTACTAAGTATAACAAGAGATTGACAGCCGTCACAAAAGCAGAGCACGTGCACAACCAGGTCAAGTGAGTTTCCAACACTGAGAAGTTGTCCAAGAAGACGGATGGAATACAAATGCTTAGGAAAATTGAAAATATGCACAGAAGATTGGTATAGAGAAGTCTCTTGATGTCAGTCTCTTTCATGGTGTTTTCTTGGGTAGCTATCTAGTAGAAAACAAGAAAAGAAAAACATGTAATAATTTTTTTCCATGTCCCAAACACTTCAACATGCTAAATATAAACCATGTACTAATAATTTTCTATAAGCAATATATTTGTTTCAAAACACAGAACATGCATATGTAGATTTTAATCATTCCTTTAGATATCTCTAATATGATACAAATATCTTTCAGAGCTTCAAAAAGAAAAACTCAGTAAAAATTTAAATATTTGTGACTGTTTTCTTCAAAGGGGGCATGTATCAGACACAAGCAACTAATTTTACTTTTTGGCCAAAATCAGGAAGATGAAATCACAGCAGTATCCAAATGACAACTTAGATATGCAAATGGTGAAGAACCATAGTAAGCCGGTCATTATGCTAAGGGCTCAGTGTCTGACACAGATGCTAAATTCTAGTAAAAGCAGAACATGAGGGGTTGGAGAAACAAGGGTTACTGTCTCTAAATACATTTGACTTAAAGAACAGTTTTTATGTTATATTGACTAAAATAAGAACTTAAAGTAACAAATGTTACAGTGTGGTAAAAATCTGGCCCCAAAAAGAACATCCACACAGCAGGGAAGAGGAACTAGCAGGGAAGAGGAACCAGCGGGGAAGGTAAAAGCGCAAGTCTGGGCATTGTCCTATTAGCCCTCATTTAATAACCACTATCGTTTTCGAAAGCAAATATGATACTGATTAAGCAAACTGGATAAACAAGTTAGCAGATACAGTCAAGGTTACACACACTAAAGCCATTTCAAGCACCGCCTCTTTAACATGAAGATATCCTTCAGGGTCGGGAGAAGACTGAATAGCAATGAAAAGACTTGGGCAAAGTTTTTCAGATTCTCCCTTCCGCTGCCGGGTCAGGCAGGTAGGGAGATCAGAAATCCCTCCTCTGAGCAGAGCGCGTCTCTGGGCCACCGGTAAATTCCCATCTAATAGGGCGAGCGGTACCCAAACGCAAAGGCTTGTTGAATGGAGCCCTTCCTCGGACAGTGGCGGGTGAGTTCCCCCAGCACACCACACCTGGGAAGCCGCCCTCCGGAGTCGCGATCCACGAGAGTCGAGTCGAAAGACGTTGCTGCTCCCGAGCCCTCCTAAGCAGCCTTTGCCCAGGTGGGGACCACAGCTCAAACCCACCCAGGTGGTTCTGTCCCAACCTCGGACGGCGCGAGTGTGGACAACTGAGGAGCGTCATCAGAGAGAGCCCGTGCGGCTGACCCGGTGACCTGCGAGACGGTGACAGAGGGTCGGTGCCGCGGACAGAGGCTGGCATCTCAGAGGGTCGGTCGCGCAGGGCATCCTCTGGTCCGCAGGAAGCGTGGCGCCCTGGAAGCCACCGCAGCGGTCCGCGGAGCGACCTGCACCCGCCCTAGGCGAGCGTGAGAAGCTTCCGGCCGGCTTACCTAATTCTCCCGCCCGCCGAAGGCAAGGGGACGCCACCGCCTCCCACCCTCAGGTGTGATAGCTACCAGGGTCCTTCGCGCAGGCTCAGACCAGAAGGCGGGGACTCACAAGCGCACAGCCAATCGTTGAAGAGGAGAGGCGGGCCAACGAAAGAAGCCACGCCCATCAACTCGCGTTTATCCCTCCCGCGACTTTCGAGTTGCTGGATAGGCCGGAGCAGGAGGGCTGAGACTACGGAAGCAAGCTGACGTAGCCGGAAGAGGAAGTCTTCTCAGCTGTGTTGTTGATTATTTTGGCAGCTGCCTCGGCTTTGCGGGTTGAGGGGGATAGGGACACCCCGTGGAAGAATGGTGTGTGAAAAGTGTAAGTTAAGGCGCTGCTTCTGTGGGAGGTGGAGGCTGGAGGAACCTGACGAAATTCTCTTGGGATTTCGGCCTTTGCTTTTCCCTCTGTGATATAACCTTTGTCTTCCTTTCCTGCCCTGCCCTTGCCTGTCCCGGGACCATATAGCCCTATGCTTTGGGTTCAGAATGGTCTCAGTTCTGCTCCTCTCTGTTTGTTTCTGTTGTCCTCGAGCCCTTCCTGGATCTCTTAAGCTACAACTTCTTGATTGGCTCCCAGAGGCTTAAAATGGATCTTCAAAATCTCTCTGGTAGCATCTAGAGTTGCCAGATGTAACAAATATAAATTCCAGGCTCTCAGTTACATTTTTAAGATTACAAGCAATGATTAATTTCTAGTATTTTAATATGTCCTGTATAATACTTAAATCTTGACCTTTTTGTTGTTCCTTAATACAAAAACATGCCGCATTTAATACAGATTTTACTTTAAAAATTACTTAAGTGGTTATCTGAAATTAACTTTAATTGAATATTTTGTACCATCCCGTCAATTCATTGATACTCACAGCATTGGGTCAGGAGAGAGTCTCATCATCACTGGAGAAATCTATGTCGTCACCCCTAGCTTTTTGAGAGGTCTTTTAAACCCTTTTAGTTACCATTCAGTAATTCCAATGAAACCCTTGAAATTTGTTGAAAATATTTGATTTTTTTTTAACTGCAAAAGCTGATGATTTGTTTAAAAACAACTTTCTTCTCTTGATCTCTTTCTTGGGCTAGACAGCCTTCTCTGACAAAATTTCAGCTCACATCTCAGTTACTGTTTCGTATACACAACCCATTTTATTCATCTCCTCAGTACGTAGAACTCTGGACACAGACACCCCAAGGTAGCTGTACCATCAGACTCAGCCACCATTCTTAAACAGTTTTTTTATTCTTTTTGAAAGTGGGGAAAATGTTTTATTAAATGTGGCTTAAATGTATTTAGATTGTGAAGGTGTCCTTTGTGCTATACCATAAAAGGTCATTTCTATTACTACTTACTTCTCTTCTGAAAAATCTTACCTTTTATTATTTGTAACCTCCTAGTCTGTTTGCTCATTGAACTCACCCTGTAAGTAAACTGAAATCTTGCTCATACAGAAGCTGCAATGTCAGGCAGTCACCTCAGTTCTGTCTTTCCTTGTATCATAAATTGTTCAAAAAAGTTATTTTGTCTCCAAATTTTCAGAGTTACTTCTTAGAACTTGACAAGTACAAACTGCTTTCTATACTAAATGAACCTTCAAATGTTCTCTGGTAAATGTCTTTCATTTACTGAGTTCCAGGGAGTTTGGTTTGCGTCTGCTTCATTTCTCTTGCTCCGTTAGATCCTTGAGGAACGTTTGGCCTCAGGTAGCACATCCATACCAGTGAGTATCCAGTCTACTTCTCCACCCTGACCTTTTCCCTACTTAAACAGTAAGAAATAACTGTCCGTTTGGAGCTCGATGTTCGAGGCCCTCTACAGACAAAGACCTAGCTTATCCTTCCAACCTCGGTTCACCCCTTTCACGCTTGCGTTAGCCAGATTCCTCTGTTACTGTTGTGCCCCCTGAACATCCCGTGCCTGTCCTCGGGGTGTGTACTTTAGCTACTGTTTAACTTCATCTTCCTCATGTACCTTACCAGATGTTTAAACTCTATCTCATTGGTTCACAATTATTATACTTTATTTCCCAGCTTATATTTTTACTGAAGGCTTCACTTTTTAAAGTCTCTAATCACTTTGAAAATCTAATGAACGCTGTAGAGTCTTAGCAATAAAAGCTTATAAACACACATGCTAGGTTTCTGTTCAGTTCTGCCTGGTTCATTTCTTTCCTATGATCTGCCTACAAGCTCTTAAGGAACTAGAGAACTTGGGTATGAGCCCCTGAATCTAGATTCGTGGCTTTGTTTGCATCAGTACCTCGAATAGTGCTTTGTTCATCCTAGGTGATTAGAAAATGTGGGAGGAATGAGTAACTTTGTTAGAATTGTTTAAAGTGTAATCAGTGAAGGCCTGTTGTTGGAGCATCTTATTGTCCTTTAGTTTCATTTAGAACCAATATCTGTTGCCCACAGTTACTGTCTTAAGTCTTCATTCATTGGTTTCTACCCTGGCATTAGTAGGCTCCTACTGTAATCTGACTTTTCATAGCATTATGTACTTCAGACATGATACAATATATTTATCATTTTTAAATCATTATTGTAAAGTTAGCAAAGAAATGAGTTTCATTATTTTGTTTCCACACAGTTTGCTTATTAGATGACGATTGTACTCTTTTGCTATCTTGCTACCCCAGGTGAAAAGAAACTTGGCAGAGTTATCACTCCAGACACATGGAAGGATGGTGCCCGGAACACCACAGGTAGTGTCTGCTGGTAGGAGATAGGAGCTCGGTCAAGCACTTGTGGACACTGCTGGAGTGCTTCACTGTTTGCAGAGTGCAGTGTTAGGTGCTGAGTATCTTGTCCATTAAACACAAAGAGGACCGGATTCTCTTGTGAAGTCTTATCTTTTCATCATCTGAGTTACATTTATGGATTCCTTATATAGTCAAGAAGTATTAAAATTATTATTTAAATATATGCCTATTTGATTCAGCTTAATAAGGTCTGTATTTAAAGTTCCTTCCTACATCTAAGTTTTACATTCTAGAACAAACCTAGACTGCTTTCACTTTTTTATTAAAGCCATACAGCAAGGCCTGGTGTGCTAATGCACACTTTTCCTCCCAGCATTCAGCAGGCGGAGCTCTTGACTTCAAAGCCTGCCTGGTCTACAGTTGAGTTCCAGAACAGCTAGGGGGCTACGCAGAGAAACCCTGTCCCCCAAACAAAAGAAAACACCACCACCACCACCACAGCAGAATATATCTTCAATGGTGGGGGAACCCAGTGTTTTTCTGTTTTCATTCTCTGATATCAAAGTGCACAGATCTTACACATACAGGAGCGTGTAAGCCTTGTCAAAGCACCACTTTCAACCAGTACACTTTATGCAGTGTTCATTGAGAGCTGGCTATTGTATGAGGATTTTAAACATTAGAGTAAGGGTTGTTTATTGATAGAAAGTCAAAGAGTGAACTTGGGTGTTACATGGTATATGTTAAATGCACAAGAGTACATTGACTGACAACACATGCACTTGTTTCTTTTTAATATATAGAAAGTGGTGGAAGGAAGCTGAACGAAAATAAAGCTCTGACTTCAAAAAAAGCAAGGTAAGTGAGAACACCCCTGGGGCAGTCATGACGTCCCGTTTTTAAGTGGCAAGCCTAGTGCAGTCCACTCTCGCCTGATCCCAGTGTGTGTCATATTTGCATACAAAGGCAGACTGTTTGCTATAGGCCACTTCTCCACCCTGTACCAGCATATATCGATATTAGTGCTACTTTCTACTATTTTAACAAAACACATGATTTTTATTTTATCTACTTGTTAATTCACCTACAAATCAAAGGCACAAAGGAAATGGGGAAAAAAACATAAGCCTTGGAGTTGGCCCTGAGTTTGAATCTGACTCTGTCTCTCTAGTCACATGACCTGAAGTTTCTTACCCTTTCTGAAATGCACCTTTCATCTGAGAATGAGAACAAAATCTCTGCAGTTTTGGCACGATGCTTCATTATATTAAATTTAAACTTTCACATGAGTCCTTCCCGCTGCTGCCCACTGCCTTTCTTCCTTTTCCCACAGTGAAGGGTTACTAGCCAGAATGGTCACGTAGAAAGGTCACATAATTCCTTTGTTTAAAGCCTTCCATTGGTTTTCCTTTTCCGGTAGAATAGAATCTGAGCTCTCTACTACGTTCTTACAAGTCTTCCATGATATGACAGCTTCTTCTTCTGAGATCCTGCTGTCACCTAAGGACGTGTATGTTCGCTGCTCTGGGATTCCTCCTGACTTCTTGTTACTTGAAACTTGGCTGGGATCTGGTCTCAGAGAGGAGTCCTTAACCAGCATTCATCTCTTCACCACCACAGCTTGCAGCTGGGATTTTCTTTGTAACACTAGTTTGGTGAGGGCAGGACATTTGTGATGTCCATGTTTGGTATTTAGAATGGTGTTTGGGAATAGTAACTACTCAGTCGATATTTGCTAAATGAGTAAGTAGCCACTGTGTGCCATTATCCTAGGAGTTAAAAGAAGTGAAAATAAAGCTCTTCCTTTATAAAGAGGCTGGCACATAGCATCATGCTATATATTGTTGCTTGACGATGCTTTCCAAAACCAGTTTTTACTAGTTACTTACATAAATTGTGCAACTTCATATACAGTCAATTCCTTTATGCTCTTAAATTTTTCTGATATTTCTAAAGTGTAGCTATTATTTTTGAGTACTCTAGCTAGCTTGGTTTAGAAAAAATACTACTGTATTACATTAAATTTTCAGTACCATTATTTATAAGGAGCAAGAAACTCTGGGAGGCTGGAGAAGTGGCTCAGAGGTTAAGCGCACACACAGCTTTTGCAGATTGTCTGAGTTCAGTTTGGACATCAAGGGCTCACAAACTGCCTGTAACTCCAATTTCAGGGGATCCAGCACTGCTTTCTGGCCTTAGCAGCACCTGTAACTCCAATTTCAGGGGATCCAGCACTGCTTTCTGGCCTTAACAGCACAACCTCTCACAAACACACATGTAAACATAATTTTAAAAATAATAGAATCTTTAGAAAAAGAACAAAACCCCTGCCAATTAATGGTAAAAGTTATTTGGTTAAAATGTCATTTTAGAACAATAAAAATATTGTTTCAGAAAAGGACTCTAAACATTCAAATCTAAACAAATTTTACTTACTCTTGTGGGAGTAAAATGACTCAGTTTAGAAAAGTTAACCTCTAAAAATGGCTGTTATCTAGCCATCATGGTACATGTGGGAAGCTGAGCAGGAAGATAGTAAATGTCATGACAATATGGGTTATGGAGCCAAAAAGTCTTAAACAACAAAGGAACAAACAAGTAAAAGGTATATTGAAAATAATGGTGCTAGAGAGATGGCACAGGGGTTAAGAGCACTGGCACTCCTCCAGAGGACCTGGGTTCAATTCCCAGCACCTGTATGGTGGCTCACAACTGTCCCTAACTCTGGTCCCAGGAGATCCAGTTCCCTTTTCTGGCTCCCACAGGCACAACCCTCGTGACACACAGACATATATGTAGGCAAGATACCTATACACATAAAATTAAAATACATAGATAAAGGTAAAAAAATTTTTTTTAAAGAAAAGAATATCCCATCCTGTATCCCAAACAAGATACCAGGACTATGATGTTTCATAAAGAAAATATAAATAGCTATTTTGGAGGAAGGCAAACAGCAGTTTTGGGAGAATTATTTCTTATAAAGTTATTTGCCCTTTGTTTCCTATAGGATACCATGTTCATATAGTAGAAAAGCCTTATCCAAAGGGATTAGTCTAGCCACTTGAAAATGCTTGTTAAAGTGAGTAGTCATTAGGAGATGTACCTGTTTTATTTTAAAACAAACTGTAGATCTATTCATCTATTGTTGGATATTGAGATTAAGCTTTTACAGTCAGGTCTACTGACGAGAGTTTTATATTCTCACATAAACCATCACTAGAATATATATTTTGTACCTTCAGAATGGAGCAAACACTAAGCCAGGTGTGATGGCACGTGCCTGTGATCCCAGTGCTGTGTGCTGGTGACAGAAACATCAGGAGGTCAAGGTCATCCAGCTGGGTTCACCAAAGAAGGGGAGGGGTGTTCAGGGAAGGGGAGTGGTCCTGGAGAGAGGACCTGAGTTTGGTTCTCAGCACCTACATTATGAATCTCAAAACTACCTGTAACCCATCTCTAAAGGACCCGAACCCTCTGGCTTCCACATACACACACACACGAAAGTTTCTATTGTAGTATAAATATTTATCTTTTTTTTAATTCTCTAGGTTTGATCCATATGGAAAGAATAAGTTCTCCACTTGCAGAATTTGTAAAAGCTCTGTTCACCAGCCAGGTTCTCATTACTGTCAAGGCTGTGCCTACAAAAAGGGTATGTGTCTTTAACTTAATCTTTTGACTTATATCAAATTTGTCTCATTAGCTATTGGTTTAAAAAACAGAAAGGAGTAACCTTTCATAAGTTGCTAGTCAAATACTCCTTTTTACTAAGAGAAAATAGAATTTAAAATAAATTTGTAGTCAAAAGGATATTCCTTTTCCTCTTTTATGATGTTTTGAAGTTCTTACAGATTCTGTCTATCCTTCTATCTGTGTGTCTGTGTCTGAGTGAGTATGTGTGTACATGTGTGTGCAGCTCACCTAGGCATTAGGCAGGTGTGCTCAGAAGCCAAAAGAAGGCAGTGTGTATCTTTCTCTGTTACTGCACCTTTTGAAGCAGGGTCTCTCCCTGAACCTGAGGCTCCTTTTTCTCAGTTGGGCTAGAAGCCAGCAAACCCCAAGGATCCTCCTGTCTGCACCCAGCTTGGATCTGAAGTTATGGGCCTTGTGAGCATATGTGAATGTTGAACTCCAAACTCAACTAGTTTACATGATTACAGAGCAAGTGCTCTTAACCAGTGAGCCATCTCTCCAGTCCCACTAGGTGAACTTTTAAGCTTTAGATTAACATAAATAAACCAAGCAGTTGTACTACTTGCTTGCTCACATGTTTTCTTTTGTTTCAGGCATCTGTGCGATGTGTGGCAAAAAGGTTCTGGATACCAAAAACTACAAGCAGACCTCTGTCTAGATATGTTGATGAAGATTCTGAGTCCACGATTGTACTTTGTGCTTCAACTGTCAAGGCATAGCACAGATGTCCGTCTTACAAGATAACCTGTCTGAAGATGAAAGACTCAGTCTGAAGCAGGGTGGCTGATCAGTATTGATTTGTCTGCTCTCATGAAATTTTGAACAGCAAATGATATAACCAGTGTTCTGCCTTAAGTGGTTATTTTCCTTGTGAGCATTTTACTGAACTAGATAAGTGACAGAATTAATGTTCCTGACTTCCGTACGCACTGTCTACTCAAAATATTTATATACTTAATGAATAAGGTGTTCCCAGCTTCTGTACGCACTGTCTACTCAACATTGTCCATATAATTCTTATCTGATCCATGCATTTTATTTATAGATATTGCAAATGTGAAATTACTGATCCTTTTCTTGGAATGTGACATCCAGACTTCAGATTTCTCTCTTATTCACAAACATCACAGTTCTTAGAGTAAGCAGCACCTTAGTTAAGTGCATTTTCATGAGCTATAAATGTTTGAGACCATTATTGCAGAGTGGTTCCTTAGTGACCAGTCCTGTTGCAAGTCTAAGACAAGTTGCATTTTTTATTTAAATTTGCTGTTGATGCTGTCGTGCAGTTCCTTTCACGTGTGACTGAGGGCCATGGGGCCCGACCGTCCAGGCTTGCACTGAAGTTCAGAGATGTGCATTCTCAGCATCATCTTACAATCAAATGGGGATAGATTTCTTCTGTTTTGGAATGTTCTTTGAAGCAGGAAACAAAACTTTCCTTAACTTCCCCCCACTCCCGCTGCCACTCCCTCAGAAATAAAGCAAGCGTCCTGGCCTTTCTGTGTCTTCAATGATGTTATTGTAGACTGCTAGGACTGTTCTGAGGTTTCAAATGAAGGTTTTTCTTCTTGCCTTCTTAAGAGTTGGGCATTCCACCTTTAACACCCTCAGCCTCCTCAGAGACCAACAGCATATTCTCTATTTTCATCTGCAGGATCTTAAATACACAGCATTGTGTAATATGGGACCTACTATAAACAATGAAAAATAGACATTGATTATGGTTTTAAAATTACTTTGAGGAAAAAGTCTTAATTTCATTTTATCTGCTAGATTTTTTCAGTGTTTTTCCAGGGTGCTTTGTTAATTTGTGTTTATAAGAAAAATTACAGAAATAATACAGAATACAAATAATACTTTTTAGCTGGGCGGTGGTAGCACACACTTTTAATCCCAGCACCCAGGAGGCAGAGGCAGAAGGGTCTGTGAGTTCAAGACCAGCCTAGTCTACGCAGTGAGTTGCAGGACAGCCAGAGCTACATAGAGCAACCTTGTCTGGAAAAACAAAATACAAAAACAAATAGTATCTCTCAGTGTAAAAAATATCCTCCTGTGTTTAATTAACTTGGGATTTTTCAGGGATTGGATTTTAGTTTTTTTGAGACAAGGTCTTTCTACATAGCCTTGGCTGTCCTGTAGACCAAGGTGACCTCTCGAAGTGTTGGGATTTTTAAACCAAAATCTTAACACAGAGAAGTCATGAAGGACCCAGCTGGGCGCAGATCTGTCGGTGTGCTCTACTCATGGCGGTTCCTTACCCTGCAGCACAGGACGCTCTGTTGGGTCGTGGGCTCCGTTACTTTCTCCTCCCACCTTAGCCCTGCAGTGAGTTGTTTGTCCAGATGTCACTGGATCAAGTTGTAAAATGTCTGGGCAAACCCACAAAATAGTTAATGTGTAATTATCATGTATCGTCTGTTCACCCTGGGCAGAGCCTGACAATTTGTATGTTTTTGCTTCTCTCCCAGGTAACTTTAGTGAGTGAAGCTGAGTGCTTTTAAACTTCAACCAGTGTTTATTGGATTTCTGCTTTATTACTCCAAAATGTTTGTACATAAAGTAGAAGCTGAGCCTGTTTCAAAGCAGTGATTTTAGCTCCATGAAGTTGGGAGCTAAGCTAAGATGGTGGGAGTAAATGGAAACAAAGATACAGGTTTGCCGGTCCCAGTGAGAGACTGGCTAGACTGAGCTGACTGGAGAGGCAGCTATGGGCCTTTTCCATGTGGTAATAGTAGGCCTTTCCACCAGGGGGCAACGATGCTCTTCCTGGTTTTAATTTGCAACCATGATAAAATATTTGCAGTTAAAGCAACCCAAAGATCAATCATGTAGGCTTAAGTTTCAGATTATATTGTGGTAAGATAGCTGGAGAAGTTTATCATAAAACATTTAAAGTGTGGAAATAAGGGCAGTGGATAGGACCCTTGCCTGAGCACACAAAGCCCTGGGTTTGATTACCAGTGCTATATACACTAGGTGTGCTGATGAGCACTTGGGAGGTAGAGGCAGGAAGATTAGAGGCAAAAGGACCCTTGACTATATGACAAGTTTAAGGCTGTGAACTATATATAAGTAGCTTAAGAACTAAGCTATATAATGTTTAACATTTCTTAGCTACGCAAGACTATATTTTTTAAAGTGGGGATGGGCAGGGGTAGGGGATTAGTGGTTAAGAGTGCATTCAGTTTTTACCCGGGACCTGGTTTGGTTCCCAGAATCTACATGGTAGCTCACAGCCTCACCCCTGGCTTCCATAGTCTCCTGCACATATGAGCAGGCTCACACATACAAATAAAAAGAAATCTTTAACCCTGGAAAATAAGTTTAAAATGGTGTTAAAAGGGCAAACTTCAGAACAAAGATGGGAAATATCAGAAAACGGATCCAGCAACATAAGACAATAATGTTTTGTGACCAGTGTTGGCTTATTCTAGGAATTCAAAGTTGGCTGACATTTTTTAAACCCATTAAAGGTACCCACATAGAAAATTAACGAAAGATGCATGACCATCTCAGTGTAGAAAAAGATTATTTGATAAATTCAGTGTTCAGGGCTGGAGAGATGGCCCAGTGGTTAATCACAGTTGCTCCACTATATAGGTATAGATATATAGATATATAGATATATAGATGTATAGATATATAGATACATAGATATATAGATAGATACATAGATACATAGATAGATACATAGATACATAGATAGATACATAGATACATAGATATATAGATATAGGTATATAAATATATAGATACATAGATATATAGATATATAGGTATATAGATATATAGATATATAGGTATATTGATATTTAGATATATAGATACATAGATATATAGATATATAGATATATAGATGTATAGATATATAGATACATAGATATATAGATATATAGATACATAGATAGATACATAGATAGATACATAGATATATAGATATAGGTATATAGATATATAGATATATAGATACATAGATATATAGATATATAGGTATATAGGTATATAGATATATATCTTCCCCAGCCTTGTGGGCTTGCACAGTAGATATGGTCACCCTCATATGTGACACACATACGTGAGGATGCTGATGGAGGATTTTGAACGTCTGTGGTGCTGCTGCCTTTCGAGGACTTTGAACTGCCCGCAGTGCCTTACCTCTAGCCTTGGTCCTCACTCGCTAAGGTGAATAGGATCTGCTTCTATATGGACCTGACTCCCTCTCAGGAGTTGCAGCCCTGTGCTGCCTATTTTCCAATATCCAAAACTGGTTTTCACATTTTTGCCCACTTTTTAAGAATTGATTAAAGCAGGAAGGTAAATACGGCCCTTGGTATTTTGTCATAGTCACCCATGACCATTACAGATGGACTAAGATATGTGTTTTGATAAAGTCCCCATCCCAGTAAACCCACTGTAGGCTGAAAATGTTACAAACACACCCAGCAACTGAACAACACAGCTTACAGATAGTTCACTGGAGTGTCAGTTGTCATCCCCCACCCACCTCCTCCCACCACATGCTGCTGCCAGCATCATGAAAAAGCATTGTACTACCTCTCACTAGTCTGAGGAAAGCTCAACATTCCCATCCAAATCCTAATACATGTCTTCTAAATGTATAATGCTTCCTCACCATCCTAAACTCAGATCTGATGTCAAGCTGTCATAAGTAGCGGACTATCTGTGGGTTTATTGGGGGTGGGGGTGGAGGGAGGAGTATCACTGTGTAGCCTCGGCTGGCCTAGAATTCTTGATTCAGCCTTAGCCTCCCAAATGCTGGCATGAACAAGGTCTGCATGCCCATGTCTGGCTGGTCTTGTACAGTTTCTTTTTTTCCCCCACAGGCTCTGCCCCCTTCAAGTTGCTTTTCTCATTTCCGCCTCCCTATTTCTAAGGACAGCTTTCTCTGACATTTTTTGCCATTTGTCCCATGCAGACCCAACAGTGGAGAGACTATTAGATTGTTCAGCATCTCTACTCACACTGATTAGTAGGCCAGCTCCTCCAACAGTGACTATGATACCTCTGACTGGGAAGACAGTAACTAGCACTCTTCATTTCTCTTGTCTGGAGGTTAACGTGGAGGGAAAGAGCCTAAATAGTCAGTGTTCAGTCACTGCCTCTTCCTGCTCTAAGGTCTGATGTCCACCATCAGCTGCACATTGTAAAAATCTGTTTCCCCATCTTTGGCACCTCTAAATTTTGGCCATGGTGTAGGAGGAGCAATACTTCTCCACCAGCAGTATGCATAGGAGTTGTGCTGCAGGGTCAGGAAGTCTTATGACTCTCATTTGTCCTTCATTCAGCCAGTATTCTTTAAGTCAGCTTTCCAGCCCACTTCCAGAGGTGTCATAAGGTTGTGAGCCAGTTAGCACTCAAGTGTATGCCAAATTTGTTCCCATATTCACTTAATGTCATTGCAGTTTGGCTTTTCCAGAAGTGACAGGTCTATTCCCACTTGTTTCTCTCCACCCACTCAAAGTTGTGTCCTTTGATACCTTCCCTCACTATCTTTGGGGTTCACACCATTTCCCTCCAAAATACTGGTAATGTAGCTTTAGAGAGGAAGTTGAGGATCAAAATTAGATATTTTATTTGTTGACACTTCCCGTAAACTTCATTTTCATATATTTTATAGTTTTGTCATCTTCCTAATGTTCACCAGACATTCATACTCACACCTGTCTGTCTTGCTATATATCTATCTTCCTTGTCTTCCATCTATTTGTCTATCTGTTTATCTTCCATCTATCTATCTATCTATCTATCTATCTATCTATCTATCTATCTATCTAGTTTGTGGTGCCCTCACAAATGTTAGGCAAGTTCTCTACTACTGAGCCATGCCACCAACCCAATGATTAGATTTTTGACCCACAAATGTAATCCTCTAACAGGAGAAATAATGGGGACATAACAAAGGCAAAACTGGAGTGGAGAGAGAGAGAGAGAGAGAGAGAGAGAGAGAGAGAGAGAGAGAGAGAGAGATTAATGAGGATGTAAGAAATTAACCCTGTTGAAGTTGAATGTGTAAGAATATGCTTGCTATAGTTATTCCTTTCACCTAAGTGTTTTATACTTCAGATGAACAGTTCACCCTAATCCCAGCACCAAGTCTGCCTTTTGATCAGGCATCTGGCTTCTGACAAAAGCATCCAGGCTTCTTCGTGCAATATTTATAAATATTAAAGGACACTGTTTATTTTGCCAGTGACTAATATGCCCTCAAAAATACACTTTCACAAAAGTCTGCTGTGAACCTTCAAAGAGCTAATTTTTCTCAAAGAATTTATAATCATTCTGCATTGATGTAGTTGTTCAGTGTCAGGCATGAGGATGTTACAACCCACGGGCAAGTTAACTATTTGACAGATAAAGTTGTACTGAAACGTAGTCATAAACATTTACTGGCTGCTTTTTTGTAAGAGGACAGGATTACAAAGCCTAAAACATTTACTACTTGTTCCTTAAAATAAGTTTGCTGTTCCAATTTTTA